GGTGACATTGATCAGGGCAATCTGGCTGAACTAGGTTCACCGTGGATGGATCGATGTCTCATTTGCGGTTTGGGCATAAGTGGGTAATAGGGTCCTGGGGAATGGCGAGTAAAGGTACGTACTGCCGTGTCTTAAAGATTCCCGTACTTCAACATTCTACGCGAACGTCCGGTTTCCGATCGAGTGACGAGATTATATGATAGACAGGGCACTAGCTGACCGTGTGAGCGTCCAGACCATTATAAGTTTGCTGACCCTATGCTCTTCCCTCCCGCTCTGAATCCATTTTAAAATCCAGATCACAGCTTCATAAGGTTTATTTAAACCGGGAAGGGAGCCAGAGAATTTGGTAGGTAGTTCTAGTGTAGCAAAGCCTATAATTGGTCAAGGTGCTGGAAAGGCATGAATTCTAAGTTGTAGACCCCCGGGAGTCAATCTCTCTTTTTTTTGCTGCAAAAAAGCGAAGCTATATATGCATACATAGCAGCAAGTGTGGAAGGGTGCGGCTGGCAGGTGAATTCACTAAAGGGTAAACAGAGAATACATGGGACTCAGGATGACATTCGGAGGTCGGGCTTGTTCATGCAGCCATGTTCTCACCTTGTGGTGTATAGGTATTGGGCGCCGAGGGTGCTGAATCCTCACCGAAATTGCACTTGCCTCCCTTCTCCCTGAGCTGCATTGTCGAGTATGAGATGCACTCACGTGATAATTGTTGAAGTGTCCAGTTATCTTCCCATACTAGCGCCGTCCATCGGTTGGACTTCACCTTGCGCTAATGAACACTTGAACAGGTCTTTGGAAAAAAATGTTTTCCTATGAGGAACGCTCTCTCTTTCTAACCTTCATCTCAAGGTTATCCGTATATACGATCCCGATCAGCCACTCTGTCCCTCCTTTCCACTTGGAAGCATCTCCTTCCCTTGCTCACTGACCCATCTAAACCCCCTCTGTACATAACCAAACCATATCATCACCTGTCGTCACTTAGCTAGAAATTAGCATAAATTGGGGGTCTGCCACTAACAAGGCACGGGCGCCGGCACTGGTGATCGCCACGGGTTTGGCGGGTTTCTTTACCTAAACTAGAAGCCAACTGTCATGGCCGTGTTACAAGAGTCGTACACCTGTCGTTGACTTGTCAGAAAGACAATGTTGTACAACCATAGAATCCTGTCCCCCTCGTTGTCTTTTCCACCCTCAACCACTGCCCTTCACCATGGCGCGAGATGGCGTCGACCCCCCCCCTTATTACTGACAAGCCTCGTAAACAAAACTCTCAGCTTATATCTTTTTTTTAAAAAAATCTAAGTTTATTATATCGAGAGTAAACGACGATGCAAACGGGCGCGCGGTAGCAGTCCCGGGCTTATATCACCAATACAGATAATGTATCTGCTGACAAAGATTGAATTATTAAGGATATTGAGGAAATTGAAGATGGAGACACTTACTCAAGGCACAACACCTCCCCAAATAATTCACACCATATCCTTGAGTTGTCTGATGGGGAGAGGACTCTGAAGATGGAGACGGCTGCTTCTCCACCAGATGCCAAGGAAGATGAGGATATCATTTTGTAGTTTTATGATATCATTTTGTAGCCTCAATACACATACCTCGCCACAAGAGTTCTTGCTATGTTAAAGACCCGTAATCCGTAACCCGCGGGTTTGTACCCGTTCCTGTACCCGTATGGAAACCCGCCAAAAACCCGTACCCGCCGTCATGGGTACGGGTTTTGGCGGGTACGGGTACGGGTAGGTACAAATATACCCGCGGGTTACCCGTGTCAATCACTAATCACTATTCTTCGTGGGCCCTCCAGGCC